TCTATCGTGTCGTCTACGATAGGGTTGCCTATCGAAATGGCTCTTCGGGGCTTTATTTTTCCATGCACTCCGATAGACCCTGATCGGTCCGGGCCCTGGAGCCCTGATCAGTAATCGCACCAGTTTTCGGTCAGCAAGACCTCGCTCCAGACGGGACCAAGCACCCACATAGGATGCGCTACGCTGTCAAGCCCTGAGACCGGGTAGGCCCCGGGCTCTGTTTCAGAAGACTGTTTTTCCCAAACATCCTCTTCTGGACGCTCAGCATTGAGCAAGCTCGAAGCTCGAAGCTCGAAGTTTAGACTTTCGCCTGTATCAACATGTTGAATTGGAATCAACGGCAGAGCAGCTGGGACAGCAACAGTCAGTGGCCCAGCTCATCATGGGGACGAAGCCATTGGCAAGAGAGTCAATGGAGCCCACAGCCAGCTACGCCAAGATTCGGGACTCCCACTCCTACACGCAACTTTACCAATACGCTTGTGGAGGATGAAGCCCGCTACGACAAAACACCTGTCAACAAGGGCTCCCATGTCCCGCATCGCAAGGTGCAGCCGACTGAATGGAGTCGGAAGGTAGGCATTGCGGGGAGGGACATTTCTGACATCAAGGCGTGGGAACTGTCACATCGTGGGCCCAGTGATTTCTGTTTCTGGTTGCTGTCAGAGGGCAGACATCAAAGCATAGCTTGGGCGCGAAGTGGCTCCGAATCTGTCCTCATGACGAATCCGAGAAAGCAGCATATCCATTGGTGAAGCAGCGAGAGTCTACCATTCATGTTGCAATCAAGGCTCAAATATGAGCGACATTTTCAGGAGGGAGCAACGTTGCTGCATGATGTTGAAGAAAACGTCGCGGGAATGAAATTAAGGGCGATTGGATTTCCAGGACCGCCGCCAGCCTCTCAAAATTGGCATTTGTGGGCCCACGCCACCACCAGAGAAGGTGCAACAGGCATTGTGGCCACAGGCACAGCCCTGCCCACAGATCATGGAGTTCGCACCACATCCTCAACTACATGCGCAATTCGCCGGGTGAAGAAACGCTTGCGCCAACTGAGAGAATATTGGACTGCGAAATTCGTCAATGGGCAGAAGATTTGTGTTTCCGTTGACACATGGGAAACTCATACCCAGAGGCAGTGGCTCAGAAAGCTACCATTGACCTCAGCACAAAACTGGTAGGCGCCCATTCCCCACAATTGTGGATCATGGCACACGATTCCTTAAGTGTCTGTGGCCATGATTTCCAAGACATGGACCTCGTTATCTCATGATTTTTTGGACGTTTCCACCAAAAGTTTCTGGACTGTAATCCCTGCGAGTTCTAACCCACAGCAGGACGCATTGCGGAAAGAAGCCAGATGTGGGTACTCAGGAAATGAGACCCCCAACAAGTAGCGCTGTTGCAATTGCTGTTTCCGCTGCACAGGGTAACTTCTTGGAGTTCACAACAAACTGCCTCGAGGCTACCCCGTTCGCGGGGTGTGTGGAAAACCTGTGTGCCAAGGTCTAGGGGGCGCGTGCGTTTTGTCCAACATGTTACAAAAAGTACACCATTGCAGGGGGACAGAGGAGACTCGCAACGCCCTGAGGCATCCAAGATTAGAAAACGCTGGACCCCTGAAGCAGCAAGATTAGAGGGCTGCGGTAGGTGTACAGGCGATGTACAGACATGTTCAATCCAAACTGTGTTTTGCGCGTTTCAGAGCAAAGATTTTCAGACATGTCAGCGCATGTCCAGCGCCAGCCATTGCAGACATGTTCGCACGCACAGTCTCAACATGTCCAGTGATGGTGCTGCGGCGTGGCGGTGAGCTGATTTTCTAACCCCTTTTCATCTTCCTTGCAAGTCTGTGGTGGCTGGTTCTCATCCATCCTTTAAATCTGTTTATACATCAACATTGCAACTGC